TAACTAGATGCCAGTGATTTCTAAAACAGCTGAATTTATCTCTGACTGTTAAATGTGTTCTCTTAACATCGTCTCTGTTGAGGCTCCGTGATGTCTGGATGCTACTGTAATGACAGTATCACTACTCTCTCTGTTTTTGGACAAGAACTGTCTGCAAAATTGGTTCCGTACATTTGCCGAAGTTTGCCTTTCACATATGAAGAATGCAGCAGGACAGGGAAACAGATCCTTGCTCCACACCTCTTGAAGCTGCTTCACAGTAAAATCCAGAAGTTTAATAATTTAATAATTATTGACATTTTATCTTCACAGGGAAAGTGCTGTCATCAGGTTTTGTACCACAGTGTCTGAACAGAGACTTACAGCAAAACCTGCGCTCCCTGACCATATACTATCGTTATAGCTGCAGATGCTTCTCAGTAGTAAACACTTTTCACTGTGTATGTAAACAGCACCTATATGCTCACTCAATTGCAAACAAACAATTTACCGTCCTCTGTGTGAATGCACTAGATACTGTGCCGTCCTTCTTTCATGCATGTCATTTTGGTATCGTTTCTCTTTGTGCTCACTGTGCTCTCAGCCACAGGGAATGAAGCATTTCATCTTATCAGCTCTCATTTAATTCTGTATTCTCGCCAAGTTAGAATTGCCTGTGGCCGAAATTAATTCAACTTTCAAATTTTCTTTTTGAAGTGGCAAAGTGGAAGGCTTTTAATTATAATTGACAACAGACAAATTGGACCATGTTCCAATTATAAGATCACTCTGGTTAATGCTATGCAATTTAAAAAAATATATATCTTTGACATTATTATCTGAAAATAATTCACTGATCAACCAAAGGTGCATTTAAATCATATTAGTCCTGAGTATTTCTATTCAGATGTGCAGCAGAAAAAAAATTACACGCCTTGGTACAGCCGCCCCTCCTCTGTCACTCAGTAAATCTTTACAGCACAGTGCTAATGCGTCCACTTACAATGGAGCTGTACTGAACTGGCTGCAGGTTTTTAATCAATGCTGGTGGAGGCGAGCTGTTGACGGAGCCGGAATCTCCATGGTTACCTTGGTCTGACACACAGGGAAGGAACAACAGCAGCGTGTCCTTCTCTTGTCACCCAAGCTGTGACGAACTGATGAAACATTGATCACTCACAGCTGTGATGAGGCACCAAGTGTGTGTGTATCAGGGGAGATTGTCTTGACCCCCAGCAGATTGACGTCTTTATGATAAACTCTGAGGGATCTTGTGTTTTATTTTACCTGACACCTGCTCAACAATTATCCTCTGACTTCATTATGAGTTCGACTTAATATGGTGATAACTGTCCACTACAGTAAATCCTCTACTTGTAATCAATTAACAAATGAATGAACCCATATAGGAATATGGATCTGTCGATTTTATTAATATAACATATATTTGATTTGTGTTACTCTCTTATTTCCAACATGTCTGGTGCTTCTTGCTGCCTTGGTGCCAAATTGCCAAATGTTCCAGACCCTCCAGCTCTGCCAGCTTCTCCTCAAACGCAACTACAAGGTAAACAGCGACACACACTCACACAAAACGCAACTCTTGTTCCAGTTTTGATTCCTCTTTTGGCTGGAAACAAACTTAATGTGCTTCATCTGTCACAACCAAGTATCAGGTCTTTATCTGGTAGAACATCACAACATTCAGACGATGATTGCCTCAGGAGTGAACGGTATCACAGACAAGATTGTGCTGAAGGTAGAAAACATCAGTCAAAAGCTCATAATGTAACATAATATAGAGGCTGTGTCTGCAGTTATTAATCAGACTGTGCTTTGTACCATGGAAACAGTCATTTTAATGGCGCCGCTCAGTGGGAAATCTTAGTAAACATTTTAATCAGAGTTATTTATGCCTCGGCGCGATAGTATGATATTCACATTAGTTTTTGACAAACAGTTTGTAAGTCTCTCTGGCCTCCCTGTAAGAAGTTTCCTGACTTACAGTCTGAAGCCTCTACAAACCACACCACACGCCATAATGACCGCTCCCCTCTGTGTGCCAATGTCAGCCGTGAGGATCCTCAAAGGAGGATTGACTAGTGATGATATGAGACACTGGTACCAGATGACTAAGGATGGTCAGATAATGACTCAGGCCTGAACAGGGAATTGGGCAACAGATGTTTACGAGGGCTTAGAACCAGAGAGGCTGCTTGTGTGTTGATTTCAGTCTTTAATTATGCAATGTTATACACACATGAACAACAGTGGACTGGACAATGTTCATTAATGGGCATTCATACAAATGTAAATGAGTTTGCTGAAAGGCTAGTTTTCATCAGCTGACCCTGAACAACTCATTTTATTAACTATTAATATTTTGGCTCAAATACATATACTACCCGTTGGACCAGGTACTCAGTTGAAAACACGTCACATATGTGTTTTTAAAAATAAATATTAAAAACAAATTAGGCATTAAAAAACAAACAAAGACAGCGATCGTCAGTGAGGGCAAACATGGATTTGTGTTGTCGTGGTGTTAAAGTTTTAACCTTACCTGTGGTTAAAAACTTTCTTTTTATTGGCTGACTTATCTGGCTTACATGTGCGATCCACAGGTTTTAATGTCAAAGGGGCGTTTACACTCACTGGCTCAGTGTTAAGTGTGAATTGATTAAAAATGAATGTGTGACAGTAGAAAGAGCTCATCAACAGCTTCCACTGACATACACGTGTGTTTGTCACCCAAATGTCTTACCTCCTCCGGTCCACAGCCCTTGATTATGTTCAGCGTTGTGCTGTGGCCTCAATTAGAGTGGAGCGGGCTTATTAAAGCACTCGTGTACGCCTTGGTTTAAATGAGTTTCCGGCCCTTGACACCTTTTGGCATTCACCTACTTTCCTCCAGAGATGAGCTGTGATGTGTTACGTCAGCTAGCATCAGGCTTGAGATCCTTAAGTAGCGAGTGTGTCATGACCTACACATCAGACCTTTGGAAATGATGCGAGAGTGACTCAGAGACACGGAGGAATGAGTCAAAGATTTGATTAGCTTATAATGAGGGAGATAACACTTCTCTTCCTATATACCCTTAATCCCCTTCTATTAAAAAATCATTCTCGCCAAGCAGAACATGTAATATTTAAAGATTTACTCGACTGGAAAAGATGAAAGATATGAGAAATGGAGTCTGTGAGCCGCACATTAAATCAGCCGATGTGACCGACTTGAGTGTGCACACAGAGAAAGACAGTAGAGATATACTGTAGGTCTCTGACTCAGACGCTGACAGTACAGACTCCTGCTGTTGCCCTTTTCTCTCCTCCATGTAGCTAAGCAACATGGACCCGGTCCCTTCAGATAGGTGTCCAGGGTAAACGCCCAGAGGACCCGGAGTGCAAGGCATTCTCTCAGCTGGAGCTTTGTCCTTCTTTTTCTTCCTTGTACAAACTCGCTTTCTTCAGTTTTACCTCTATGAGTGAGCTGTGCCACGTTTCAGCTACAGTCTCAGAAGGTCATTATGTTTTTCCTGTCATTTTATGGTAAGTTTAAGTCCATATATAGTGTCACCTTTATCCTTTTAAAACTGCTGTGATGAAAATGCTTTAACGCCTTAAATAGTTTATTAGAGCTCATTAAAAGTCATACATGATAAAAGGCCTTTTGAAGTAAATGACTTATACTTTATTAATGCAACAGCAGTCATACCCTCTGCTGGTTTGAGCAAAGATATCAAAATGAACTATGTGAAATCCATAGTTCCTTATGATATTTCTCCTTCTCTCTGCAGCGGCATCGAAGATGACAGCGCCAGTCTTATGCAGCAGAAGCTTGAAAAACAGGTAGGAAGATTATTGTTGTTTGCTTCTTCTTTTCTTTTTTCTACAGAAGGTGTCTCCAGACTGGTGTAGATCACAGATGTTTTCAGTACGCACACTAAGATAATGTTTTAGTTTGAGCAAACCTCTGCCTTACATGTGGGCTCCAGCTAAGATTTTGCGTAATACTGGTAATTGAAAGGGCGGAGAAAGCCTTGTGTTCTGCTCGTTTTGTCACCAAGGGGTGCCAGCTGTTGGCAGGAGCCGCTTCAACATCATGCAGCGACGTGCAGTTTACTGATTAGTGTTTTCACCTGTGCAATCACTTGGAATTTTAATGCTCATACTGACTCCTTAACCTGAACTGCTCCCTGTTGTCGCTCATTACAAACGTACAAAGTGCTTAACAACATACATGGAAATGAAACAAGACAAAACACAGATAAAGAAGATTGAATAAAAGAAAAACAAACATCCATTATAACCAGTTAAATCATCTTAGATTTTGGCTTTTGGAGCAAAGGGAGACAGCAGCTCTCTAATATTACTGGTGCCCAGACCGTGCTGAGCTGTAAAAGTTATCAAACGAATTTTAAAATCAATCTGTAATTGAACTGGCTTGCAAGGAACGGAAGCGAAGGATTGGGGAGAAATGTTCCCTTTATGCTTGTTGCAGCAGCTGAAGCAGAGACGCTGAAGATTGACTGGTACATGACAAGATGTAGCCTTTCCTCTGCCACACATTTGTTCTCCTTTCATCCGTTTTTTCTTCCTGACGCTTTATCCCCAAACGTCGCTGTAGAGCGGCGGCGTTGCACTTTGATTTGAGCTTGAAGCCGCGCTTCGCTATCTCAAACGTCAGGCGGAAAGAAACAGGAGAGCCAGACTGGTGAGTTCAAAGTAAGGAGGATTTAGTGCGGGCGCCTTTGTGTGTGTGTGTGTGTTTGTGTGTGTGTGTGTGCGCTGCAGCCCAAACAGCCTCACTTGAGTCTTTTGTCCTTACATAACTCATGAGGACAAACACACTTGTGCCCAGAGGGGAGATCAAATGAAAGTTGTGGTAGATATGAAAAATATAATAATCGGGAACATTTTTTAGATATGCTTGAACTCACTTTAGCATTTTCCACCTTGTTTCAAAGAGTCAAATGAAAATCATTCAGAAATTAAATTCAGGGTGATTGTGACTGAGCGTATCTCACTCCGAGCACGCTTCACAGCCTCCCTCCCTCCTTCTCTCTGTCTCTCTCCTTCTGGTGTGCTAATGACCACTGATTCAGTCAGCAACAGCAACGCGTATACACACACACAAACACACAAACACACACATACACACACACTCCAGCGCTCAGTGTTTGGATGAGAGACAGAGCGTTTTTTTTCCAGAGGAGGCTGTTGGTTTATTGATCCTCCAGCTCAGCCCCAGAGAAGGAATGAGCGACAGGAAGAGAAAGTCATGCTCAGGAGAAACACTGCTGTTTGGACTTAGCTGTGTCTGACCTCAAGACCAACAGGACCTGTGATGTTATTTCTGTAGAGAAACTTTGCTCCACGCTTGTTCAGGATGTCAATGGAACGGGTTTGTAACTTCTGACATTTTCATTTTTCGTCTGTCTCGATATAAGATTGCGTATCGTTCCAGTAATATCCTGCAAAGCAACTTGTACTTCAACTTTTCTGTGTATGATGTGCGTGCCCTCATTGTTTCTTCTCCTCCATATATAATTTGTTATCAGATTGTTTGAAAGGGCACACATGATTATACAGTATGTTTTATGTCGCCGTCTCTTTTCTCATGTTTTGTCAGACAAAGGAAGGACTCACATCCTGGTCTGAGTCTTTACACAAGAAGGGAATCTTACAATAGATGGCTTAAAATAGTTCACTGTGGAGGAAGACAGAACACACTGGTCAAACTTTGATTGTGTGCAGAATAAGTTCAGTGTAGGGCTCCGATTGTTTTGTGAAGATTGTGATTCTAAATTCTTCTCTATACTTTTTAAACAGTGCACAATACATAAGCATTATATCAGATATGTTGGACTTTTGTTATATTGCTATCGGCGACAATTATTGATATTGTTTTATCACTCAACCCTAGTTTATTTTTATATGAATAAACTTGTTGTGGTTTCACTTAACTCTGTAGTCTTTATCTTCCCCCAGCTGAATCTAAAATGATTTTAAAATTAGAAATGTTTAAATACACAATGTACACAGAAAGATCTGCAAAGAAATCAGGAACTCATGACGTTCACCACTAGCTTTTTTTCCAGATTTATAAGCTTCCTGAAATTTGGCCCTAGTTATGATAATCCTACTTTATGTTTTATTCATCCTGCGTCTTATGAAGTGATGAATGTACGTCTGGATTGTAACGCTCCGACACTTATCATGAGCTTGTACATTAAATAACTATTTTACACATTTGCACATTTTCTTTCTTACCTTTTCTGTATCTCATTTTTCCATCTGCCCTCTATCTCTTTAAAACAGACACACTTCTCCACAAGTGTGATCATATTAAATGAGGATTTTCACAGATGAGTTGTAACCGTGCTGTGATGTTGCTGTGGTCGTACAGAGGGGAGGGAACAGTGAGACAGACCCTGAGCTCTGGCACAATGACCGCTGAGTTATGAAAGCTTTTTAGTCCCGACAAATATGAGACAAGGCCTCCCGGTGTCTTCCAGCTCACTAAACAGCATCACCAAACAGGACTCATCGTTGTGCCTTTGACACGCCAATTAATGCGCTTGCGTAATCCATCGGCTGCTCCGACCGCAGAGGCCGGAGCGCAGGGTTGAGTGGATACAACATCAAGTCATTATACGCATATTACAGGAGTCAAAGGAACATGTCAATTCTGTTTAGTCATTAAGCAGTTAAGGAAGAGGGAGAAATCTTTTCACAATTTGAAGATCCTGAAACCAAATCTTCATGTGATGGACAAGGTCATGTATGCAGTAAACAAAGCTAATGCCATAGCATCCATTACTTTGGTCTTACTTACTCTTAAGAGGTATTTGACTTACCTCGTGATAGTTTGGTTTGGAGCACTGCTTTATTTCCATATCAGATGAATTAACAGCTAAAGCAGCTTTTTGTTTTACATTGAAACCTCCCTGGGTTTAAATGAAACTTTAAATAAGTAAATCAAATGTGCATATAAAAACAACACAGCCATTATGAACAGAGTATGTGCATGTAAGAACAATACAAACGCGTAAACAAATCTAATGTTAGATGTTTTCAACATGCTCAACAAGTGAAGCGAAGCCGGAACAGAGGAGCGAAGGTTGACGTCTCATTTCGTCAAGTGGAGACGTCTCATATCATCACACGCTAGTTGGAGCAGTTCTTGCTGTTACAATACCAACAACAGTAATCACGGTTATTAAAGATCAAAACTGCAGCAGAACATGAAACCGGTCACCATTTCCTCCCAGTCACATTTCTATAGTTTCACGCCACTTCTATTCCCCCGTTTGGTCAACAGAGGGCACTGTTGGAACAGAAGCAGCGGAGGAAGCGTCAAGAACCACTCATGGTCCAGCCCAACACGGAGGCCTGGCCCCGGCGCTCCAGGACACGGCGCGGGGAGGAGCAGGCGCCACTAGTGGAGTTTCAACCCAGCATCATAAACGATGTCATCATGGACGGTGAGGGGAAACAACTCGTCATCAAACATCCTGCCCATGCTGTTTCAGATGAAGGATATTTTTTTATTATTTTGTCTTAAAAAAAAAAATTAGCTGCTGTTTGCACATAGAGGAGAGCCACATTTAATTTCTACGCTACATAACGTTAACTCTTCAGCTGTGTCGTGTTCACTGTCTTCAGTGTGGAGCGTTCTGTTTGAGGATTAAAACACTCCATCCGTTTTATACCACGGAGGAGGAAATCTTTGCCTGCCAGTGTAGGATGATCACAGACTTCCAGATTACTTAGAAGCGTTAGTTTATGTGATCAAGCAGCAACAATATTCTGGTGACTGCTGCTCCGCTTCACAGCGCGATGTAGAAAATACATTAAAGGCAACGCTGTGTCGTACAACATGATGAAAACATGTTTTTCGTGGCTGAGATTACTGTATTCACTACAGTTTGGAAGTTTGGACAACACTGATATTTAGATAATGCTATCTAGATAATCGTAGTTGATATCCAGACATTCAAGATCTTAACATGTCATTTGTGTATTCTCTTAAATCAGTTTGAATAAAACATTGAATCTGAAGCCAGAACATTAACAACTAAGGCAACATCCAATTGACTTAAGCTGTTTTCTCTCAGTAGGTATTGATGGCCCAGCAGCCTTCATGGGCTCAGAAGCCCCTGATCTGGGAACGAGAATCCAGATCCTCTCTGCGAGCCAATCCCAGACCAAGTCCCAAACCCAGTCTCAGCCTCAATCCAAGTCTGAGCCTCAGTTCCAGCTTCAATCCCAGCCTCATTCCCCTGCTTCTGAGGAGCCCGAGAGAGACAGAGACACTGAGACGCTGCTCGAGCCCAAGACGGATATCCACGAGTTACTGCAGAAACAAGGTGAGTCCTGACAGAGACGAGTCCCTCAGCTTTTGACAAGGCTTTAGACTATACGAGATAGATATCAACAATATTAGAAAAAAAGTTGTTTCATTCTGGCTTGTGGAAGAAAGTATACTATTGGAGAGCAGAGACTCAAAATCAACAAAACTGTGGAAGATTTTTATACAACCTCGATGATTCTTAGTCTTAGGCTCCATGTTTGTGATTGGCAAATGCTGTGTTTTGTCAGATGCCGCCAAGATGCGTCCCAGCAAAAGTTGAATCCGATTCAAGTTGTTCGCAGCATGGTGCTGAGCTGCTTTGTTGCTGTTTTATTGCCTGGTCTCATTCCCAGTTTTAGTAAACAATGTTTGACAGTGCAACACAGGCTCAGTGTGACATGAGGTGGAAAAAGTGAGGCTCAAATATAAACAAACACCGAAGAGAGGAGAGACGAGAGAAAGTTATTCAGATCAGGACGAACAGTCGTCTTAATGAGTGTGTGTGGTGTGAATCCATTCTTAGTTAATGTGATCACAGATCAGTAGATCACACTCTGAAGCTTCTCCTGCTGCAGCGTGGAACAGAGATGCAGACGTTGGTGTGATTGACGGTGACGCAGTGAGAAATGGGTCATTTAATAATAGGGCAGAGCATTGTTCACACTGCAGTCTACAGCATCACTACAGCTCCTGCCAGCCACACTCACACCGCCAGCTGGCAGGGCTTTCCATGGAAGGTGTCTTCAAATCTAGACCAGAGTGGATTGTGGGTTTTTTAATCCACTTGCCACTGTAGACAAATAAAGTTTGTCTGGAACATCCTGACTTTCATTACACGAGAATCAATATGAGCCTTTTACATTTTAGAAAAATAAAATGTTGCTTATCTTATTTCGAGTTCTGTATATTCTATATATTTGGTTATAATATTTTGTTCAAAGTGAATCGTCTTCTGAGCTTCAGTGTGACGACGCCTCAGTAGACGATGTCATTGTCCTTCTCATTAATGGAAGAACTCATAGTTAATGTCAGCCCTGTTAAACACAGGAACATGTCCTCTTCCATCAGGTATTTATAGCGTCCTGTCTTTACTTATTATCCCAACGCCTGAGGACATGGAGGAAATATGTGATGGCTCATTCAGTCAAAGTCGGTATTTTTGTCCATGAAGTTAAAATTTAAATATTCTGCCATGTGCTCATTTTTTATGTGCATGTGTTGTCATTATTTCTGGTTTTGTTCAGCAGGTTGTCGGTTGGAGCGTTGTGAGTCCGCTCTGACATTTCCACATGGCTGATTTCATAAGCCACTGGCTCACACAACTTTGTTTGGTATTTTAATTGGAGCCCTGTAGTCACTGTTAGAGAGTCTCCATCTGTATTTATAATGACTCGCTCTTTGTCTCAGGGAGAGAGGCACAACTATGGTTCAGTGACATCATGTTTGGCGGTTGCATTATTCGCCTTCATTTAAATCTGCTGAGTTTTTAACATACTCTAGATTTTATTATCATTTCTGGTCAAGCGTTCTATTCACACGTTTCATTTAATCACAAACGTTAACACATTGTAAACAGTTTCCCCTGCTTACCGAGATGTTTCCTGTGTGACGGCACATTCAGCCATCTAGCTGCAGCCAAGAGCCGCGTCCCGTCTGATAAATCCAATTATCAGCGAAGAGACAGATTTCTCAAGCAGTCTAGATTGGCTGCAGTCATTCTTACATCTACACGACTGTGACCGCACTGAGCCGTCTCTGTGGAAAACACGTGACCCCACTGAGGGACGTCGGCCTTCATCTCTCAACATTAAACTCAGAAACTGACTAATAAAAAGATTCATCGACTGTGACAGGTACAGAGTGCACTTGTAAAATGTTGGTTGGATGAGCAGAGCGTAACTGAATTATCATCTTGTTCTGTTTGATTAAAACATATTTGGAGATGACTCTTTTCTTTCATTTTCTTCTTTTGCTGCTTCACATTTGAAGTCAGTCTCCTCCATGTGAAAGAAAAACCAAAGCAAATAAAACCAA